TAAATATGAACTATTAAATATGAACTACGTACCTGTTGTGGATCTATTTTCATTTGAATAATATTTATCATATCCAGTTGTAGCCCTGTTGGGTTGTCTTTAAGTATTTACGACTTTGCCTTCGTGCTGATGAACATTCACACAGAAGGCACACATGAATTATGTCCTCGTTGACTCGGTCCAGATTGTCCAGCCTTATTACTATCTTGTTGCAAATTCTGGTTAACTGCAACCATAGCCAGTTCCCAATATGCTTCACAGACACAATCGTCTTCGGTAATCTAAAAAATAGGAAAAACCATAACTTTTCTAGTATTTTACACAGCTTTGAAAAAAAATGCTACTGTGTCTTTTTTGACTAAAATGAATGGGACTATTGTGTGTTATATATAGAATGGTTTAACATAAAGACAGTCTTACTGAAGTTGCAAGCAGTACAATAATAAATTACTGGTCAATTATCGAGTCGTACACGATCTGAAGATGGTTTTTCTGCAGTAAAAAGTTATAGCTACGAAATATTCTTATAAATTATAGTTTAAAAACTTACGATTTGTGGATAAACCCAGTTGCAGATCATGGTACACACTCTTGTGTTTTGATCTAAGATCCGATATCGCCGAAGGGTATTGACGCAAATGTTGCAATTCGCGCTCAAAATGCGTGTAGGCCTGTTACTTCGCATCTTCACAAAAGAATTGAGAAACAATCGAGTCCTTTTTTGGAAAAGCAACAGTTATAGTGTACTTATAGCGCAGATCGTCCGTGAGAAAGCAAAAGTCGTCGTATAAAGTCGCAGCGAATCAAGTCCAGGCGCAATGCGAGGGTCAAAATTAAAGATAATTCACGAAAAAACGACGAAAAGAACAAGAACAATATTATACCAAAGCAAGCTTTGTGAATAACGAAGTTTTTACGACATTTGACAGTACCACTTAGTGTTGCCATTACATTTTCTTTTAATTACTACTAATGATGATTGTGATATCAAAATAAATATATAAAATCGCGACTTCTTTCACAAAATAACAAATCTAACCAATTCTTATATGTTGCTTAACATTACAATGATTTATTTTTGGGTATTGTTGGTTTATACACGACTTTAACATTTTTTTCGACTTAATACTATTTTATATTTTTTTTTTATAAATGGTAACTCTAACAAACATCAACCAAAACTAGCACCGGATATAAATACAATTAATAACTTATTTCTCATTATAAATACTGAGGCTTTTACGTTTGAAACTAAAATCGTATAAAAATCAATTTAATTACCTCATTACGTTTTTCATAGGTCTCGTTTATAGACGCTTCTAAAACAATCCAGGTATAATCTCGCCATTGTTCTTTGTTTTATTATTTGTTCTTCTTCTGTCCTGTAGGTGAGCTTCGAAAAACAACATGACATACTTTCACCCTTGTCATATTGGGATAGATGACATCGATTTGTCATTTGTTTTGATTTTGCAATAGCTAACTGACCCGGCTAACAAGTTTGAGGTCACTAAGTAATAATACTTTAAAATTAAAGTCACTGAATGTCTACAGAAAAAACTGACACAATCAAGTCTCAGTTAACACCCTCCTCAGAAACTTTAATATATACAATTATATAAAATATAAACCCATTATATTATTTTTATGTTTTATATTAGTATGTAGTTTATGTAATGGGATACCTTTATATATACGTACATTTATCACCCTCGTTTTTTATTTTTGTTTTTTCAATAAATGCAAACTCCGTTTAAAACCTACTGTAACACTTCTCTGCATCACCCTATGGTTGGCTGGTAGGGAATGCCATTCGGCATTAAGTCCACCATTGTATACATTCTGTACAAAAAGTGTTAAATAAATAAAGAAAATACGTCCGTTTCTCCTGATGACACTGATATACAAAATTAAAAGATTAATATGACACTTTAACAATTTCTGAGTAAGCTCCGTGATGATTTTTACCCGACTGCCAAAGAAGGAGGGTAATGTTTTTCGAGTGTATGTAAGTATGTATGTATGTCTTTTCCTTTGTGACCACCTGTAGCCTAAACGGCTTGATGGATTTTGATGTATGAGGTATCGTTAGATTTGTCTTGATTACGGGAGTGTCATAGGATACATTTTATCCTAAAAGTCCCACGGGATAAAGACATAATAATATTTTTTCTAAATTTCCCTTTAAAAAAATATGTATGCGGTATCATTAGATTCATTTCAATCACGGGAGTAATTAATATAGGATACGTTTTTTCTCAAAATTCCCACGGGAACATGTTAATTCTGCGTCAACGCAAAGCAACTCATGCGTTAGCAAGCAAAAAGATAGGGCGTGGCCTGGCATGCGGCGCGCGGCGCGGTGCGGAGGGGGATATGCTCGAGTATACAGCCCGATTGCGGGCACACGCATGAGGGCACACGTCGTTGACGATAGTCTTCTACATCTACAACATTTTCGTTAAATAAAAACAGCTAAAAAGTTATAAATAAAAAAATTATTATTAAAAAAACAAAATACCCGACTGCACACTAAAAAAAGAGTAAAACAAGCCCCACAATAATATTGATCAATCAAATGCTAAAAACTAATTATGTAATACCGTTTAAACAATACCTATATTAAAATACACTACAATATGTGTTCGTAATCGATAGTTAAATAAACAGAAACTTATTTTGAATACAAATTTACTGAATATAATTTATAAATGTTGATGGAAAGCATCGCAGGCGGGGTCCACCTTGACCGCCACCAACGAAAATTCTGCTAAATGGTGCACAACCGAAATGACTATAAATAAGCCTCTGTTGGTCCCCGCCTGCGATGCTTTCCATCAACATTTATAAATTATATTCAGTAAATTTGTATTCAAAATAAGTTTCTGTTTATTTAACTATCGATTACGAACACATATTGTAGTGTATTTTAATATAGGTATTGTTTAAACGGTATTACATAATTAGTTTTTAGCATTTGATTGATCAATATTATTGTGGGGCTTGTTTTACTCTTTTTTTAGTGTGCAGTCGGGTATTTTGTTTTTTTAATAATAATTTTTTAATAAAAGGTTTTGGTAAATACCAAATATATAATAATAGACACCTTGAGGGAAGGTGACGGGCATTATCGACCCCGCGAGCTCCTGTCATCCCGAGTGCTCCAGGGAGAAGTCACCGTTCCTTATTTTCCGGCTTGCCTTAAATGGCTGGCTGGAGTGAACGATGACGAGGAACAGGTCTCCCACCTCTGGTTTACCTTCATTGGCCGTCCAGAGTGGAGTCACGAGAGCAGTGATCCTGCTCGGAGGGTAAGAAACTATTCGTAAGTCTCGAGTGGGCCTGGGATGCAGGAGGCTTCGGCTGGAGCAGATCATCTGAGTAGAAAGTGGTGGTAGTTTCTTAACCCTTCAGCCACTCACATTCTCGTTGCCCCTCTGTAGCTATACATAGTGGGAATGGTTTCGAGAATGGTCCCGGGGCCCGGTCGATGAGTCGGCGAGGCTCCGCTTGCCCTTTTTTCATGTAATACTTTCATTGTTTTGGCAGGTACCATAGTCTTCCATAGTTCCCAGTTTATAAGTCTTCAGCAACCCATCCATAGCCCTACGTTATTTTTCATTATTCACAATAGTTCTACCTCTACACTAACCGGGGACTGTCCTTGGGTGCATTTCCATAGTGCATACAGGGATAGCCGCCAGTTTGTGTGTCCATTACATTTAGATTAAAGGTGTCTAAAGGGCCTCTGAGCAGCTACGGCCTCACAGGACGAGACAAACGCTTGCCCAATTTTAAAAATTTTTATCCCCAAAATGCCGGTAACGCTCTTGTAGCGCCTCTTTTGCCTTTGGGCGGCGCCGATTGCTTAACCCATAAAAATGTTAATTACAACAAAATTCTCTAATCGTTGGTGTTCAAACATTGATTAATTGTTAAATTAGTTCTTTCATTCTTTTGATTACTGATTTACGACAAATATAACTAATAATTGAACAGGCAGTAATTGTTTTTTAGGTCAATGCAACTTTGTGAAATTGCAATATTTTTAACTACATTATTTGTTTGTATAGGGTGTTCAGCTCTAAGTCTAATTAAACCGCTGAATGCAGATTACTTCCAAGCTCTATCTGGAAGTCATTTGGGAGACCAATGATCACTAGTTAAGGCATTGGCTGCGAATAAAAAACTGTTGAAGACAAATCCTCCGCTAATGTCGGTCACCGGTGACTGCCATGGCGTTTAACGTGTTAAGGCGGTGTGCCCTTTTTTAATGGGGAAAATCATCTAATGACTTCTCCCGCCATGGGTGAAACAAGAAGGAGTGTCAGACTCTTGCTTTTTAACAAGTACCCCGTCTCTACTTCTGCTCCGAGCAGGATCCCTGGTGTCAGGATGTCCGCAGCCTGAGGCGGTGAATTCTGTGACTGATATGCAGCTTACTAAACTGGGTCCACACACAAACAGTTGTAGACTATATCATTTATATCTCAATTAAAACAAATGGCTAAAAGATCAAAACTAAAATATTTCGCACTGAGTCAAGCGTACAGTTGAAGTTAACTAAAATCGCGGGTTACTCACGTGAATATACTGAGAAAAGCTCTACTAGTTTCGAACCACAGAGAGGTTCTTCCTCATGAGCTTGACTTGACTTTTGACTCTGAGCAGCGTGCGCAGACGAGCTTTTAGTAGTACCTACTAGTAGAACTTTTCTCAGTATATTCACGTGAGTAACCTGCGATTTTAGTTAATTTAGCATGTCTCACGATAGTTATTTAAAAAAAAGTATAGTTGAAGCTCCAAGTTAACATTCTGCATCGATTCTCAAGTCATACTGTTTATTGATTACATCAACCTGTACATCTAATATAGGATTTAATTTAGTATCTATATTTTATTTTCTTTATTTAAGTACCTAATAATTAGCTTTTAGGATTCTTTTAATTTGGTATATAAATCAGTTTTGTAAAAAATGTTACACAAGATCGCAATCCATCATGAAGGCGATTATAGCGTGTTTATTCTATGTGGTAACACTGGTGGCAAGTTTTGAATATTACAATGTTACATACCAACCCGTTCAAAGGCAATTATTGGACTTTAAGAAGAACCATCCCGTAAGTAAAACTCTATTGCCCTCCATAATTTTCATTTCTGTTTTTTTTTATATGCCACAGTAATCACAAAAAGTTACTTTATTTTGAAATTATTGACAACCTGACTATTTCTGGGTACTGTTTTCGGATGTTGATTCAAATTTTTCAAAATAGTTTCCTCTGAACAGCCAACAAAATAAAGGGTTCATTGCCGTGACAAATGGAAATAGAGATGGAGAGGTATTAAAACATGTATTGGGCCATATGCTGGGTTGACCACATTCAACAATACGATGTGCCGCTTCGAATTGTTCTTAATTGTATTATTTTAATGACAAAAAATATTTCTAATTAAATTGTGACTTTATTTAATGCTTCCAGCGCCCAATAGGATTATGGACCAAAAATGCCGGAGAACCAGTTGACATACGTGACACAATAACAATTAACTCCGATCAATTTAGCAACCAACTGCTTATTGATACAGTATCGACAGTAGTTAGCGAGAGAATACCAGAGCGAGTAGCTACTGCCAAAGGTACAGGAGCCTTCGGTTACTTCGAAGTCACGCACGATGTCTCCAAGTATACATATGCTGAAGTTTTCAATGGAGTGGGCAAGAAAACTCTGGTTGTTGCCAGATTTGCAACGGCATTCCAAAATAAAGGGGGCTCTGAACTGGCCAGAGAAATGAAAACTATGGCAGTTAAATTTTACACTGAACAAGGAAATTTAGATATGCTATCTATTTCTATACCTGTATTTGCATTTAGAGATCCCATGGTAGCGAGAGACATAGTTCATGCGTTTATGAGAAATCCTCAAACTAATATGTACGATTTAACAAGTATTTATGATTTAGTGACATTGAGACCCAGCTTTGTCCACTCGCTGTTTTGGATAATGTCTGATTATGGCATTCCCGATGGCTACAGAAAGATGGATACATTCCCCATTCATACTTACGAACTTTCTAGTAAGCATGGTGAGACATATTACGTACGGTTTAACTTCAGAACTGAGTTGGGTTTCTCATACCTAACAACTGCCGAAGCAGCTGCCATTCAATCTGCAGATATGGATTACTTTACTCGAGATTTGTACAATGCTATTGATTCCAGAAATTATCCTTCATGGAAACTTGAGATGGATGTATTGTCAGTACATGATTTAAAAAAAGTCGATTACAATCCTTTTGATATTACAAGACTGTGGAAAAATGGTACATTCCACACCGTGCCAATTGGGCGGTTAGTGTTAAATAGAAACGTTGAAAATCAGTTTAGAGATGTCGAACAAGCTGCATTTAATCCTGCTAATTTAGTACCTGGTATTCCAGGACCAGTAGACCAGGTATTCCGTGTCGAAAGAATGTTCTATAAGGACTCACAAAATTATCGTCTGGGAAGAAACCATGACAAAATTTTAGTAAACATGCCATTGTACGAGAAGACGTATGTACGAGATGGAAGACCACCAGTTAGCCTTAATATGAAGAACGCTCCCAACTATTATCCTAATTCATTCCATGGACCAGTTCCATATGTGGATGAGCACAGACCGTGGAAGAAATTGCAAGTATTACAAAGTTTTTCTGTTGATTTGGAACCAGCATGGTATTTCTACAATTACATTTTGGAGGATGAAGCTCACAGGCTGAGGTTTATAGCTAATATTGTCTTGACTCTTGTGCCAGTCACTCCGCCGGTTGTTCAGAGAGTTATAAAACTCTTACACATGATCGATCAGAGTTTGAGTGAGCGAGTCAAGGCCGGTTATGAAGTAGCTCTTGCTGCCCAGCAAGCAGTAGCCAATGCCACACCTTTTGAAACCATGTCTTTCCGAAGAGTTCCATCTGCGGAAGAATATCCTCTACATGAACCGCAGCCACTTTCAATGAATCCAAAGATATGAAGTAATATTGTGTAACAAAAACTACTTTTATTATTGATTGTATTAGCTGACATAATGTAAACACTCTTATCTAATATATTTTAGAAATGAAACTCTGTAATAATGGATGTATTTTATTGGTTTTTCTTTGTGACTTTTTAATTTGAAAAATAATAAATTGGTTATAATTCCAGTAGGTTTATGTAAAATTTTTGAAGTTTGTTCGATAACTATATATTAAATGTAGGTAATTGCAGATTATGTTAGGTTTTTATTTTTGTGTTTGGTATTAACAAATTATGCCATATAAGTTTATCATTAAAATCCGTCAACAAGTGTCAAAGATTAACGTGTGCACTGATGATTTGATTATTGCTAATCGTTCTATTTTTGTTTTAATAAAAAAATCATAGACACGTTCTCAAACACCATAGATCCTAACGCTTTAAAGGTCATTAATAAAATAAATTATTAGAGGTTACCGACTCTCCGATAGGTAAGAAGTCAACGAAATACAACTTAATAGTCACATAAATCATTCGTAAAAACGTAAACAGCTTAATGTGAGGTATGTGTCAATTAAGGATTTAGTGAATAATTTTGTTTAAACCTCGCGGACCGACTTTTAACCTATCACCGAGTCGGTAACCTAAAATAACTTTGTATAAATAGTAATAAATATTATGTATACTTACATCCTGTCTTGTAGGTAATTTTTATAATCATAATTGTATAGTTAGTGCCTAATTACGGATGATTAATTAATTTTATTTATCACTGAACTATAATTAACGGTATGAAATCGTATGTTTATTTCTTTAGGAAATTAGCTTATTGATTAAGACATTACTTCAAAGGTAAATTAGTTCCAGTTAAGTACAACAAGGTTAGGAATTCAGCGCATTCTTGAAACGGTTAGCTACATAAATATTGAGGAACCAAATCAAAACTGTACCTATACATAATATTAAGGTTAAAAAACTGTAACGCAGCTTTATATTTAGGGTTAATTTGCATTATAAATAACATAACATCACGCCTTTTATCCTCGAAGGGGTAGGCAGAGGTGCACATTATGCCACTGTATAATGTAATACCCACTTTTCACTATTTATGTTGAGTCCCATGTAATAGGGAGTGAGCCCCTATTGCCATATACCGGGCACAATTCCAGACTTCGTGCTACTACTGAGTTTTTTTTAAAACCCAGTAATATTTTGCTCGACTCGGGAATCGAACCCGAGACTCCTTGTCCGGCAGTCGCACTTGCGACCACTCGGCCAACGAGGCAGTATTATAAATAACATCCGAAAAGTTACTTCCAGTTGCTAAGCCTGCTCCTCCCTAGTATGTTAAATTACTTCTTGAGGTAATTACAAAAACATTGATGAAAGATTCAAGCTTGGTAAAGACGCTAGTTGAAAGGTGATCAATGTCGTTATTTAGACAAAGTTCTAAAAGGTTTGATATAACTTTCTATTTCATTAAACTAATACCTTACCAAAGTAATTCACATGTTAAACAAAGATTCTATCTAGTTATACATATACACATCAATTAAAAAGAAATAGGGTGAGACAGCGTCCCCGCCTGACCTATTTCTGCTCACGATCCCAGGTCAATATGTATATAGGTGTCCACTGGAATTTCAACCTTACACTCAGGTGATAAAGTGACTTTACGGTTTGTCGAATAGTGTTCCTGAAATAGAAACCCGAGACATTCGACATCGATTGTTCAAGTCACAGGTGGTATAAAATTAACGGTATCCGCATTATCGAGGAATCAGTGGTTTCTTCCGATAAAGCGCTTAAAGATAATTACTTTGCAACCTTTTCTGGAAGCTATAGGATTGTATTATGCCATATATAATTTATTTTACCAAAATACCAATTATTATACTTGAACCAAAAGTAGAAAAAAAAGAACTTTTACTTTCTAGTTCTAAAACATGTAGTTCATTTTTATTTGACGCAATTGCAGTGATGTCAAACAACGTAGGAAAATGGTGCGCTAAACGCCGATTCGCGTTTAGTTCGTACTTAGGTATTATAAATCAATTTGTTGGTGATTATCTCAATAATTACAAATCGTCTATTTAAAGGCACTAGTTACTGCCGCGCGGTTTTACTTGCTGCTCTTATTGGTCGTAGTGTGATGTTGTAATGAAAAAACGCACGGTTTTTTTGTTAGTCACAATTAATAGTTCACATACCATTTTTAGCTTTCTACCTAGAAAATTGCCGAAAACTTCTTACAAACTTCCACCCCCCATTTTAGGCAAGTGGGTTCTCAAAACTAGGAGGATGTTTGAAAGAGAAAAAAGAAAAGGGTTGGAAAGAGATAAAGAGTACCTAACTTATGTCACTTTCCATCCCTTCATCTCAACTTAAATATTCTCATTAATTCATCGCTCTGAAAGACGGACAAATAAACAGACACATAGTTAAAATATTATTATGAATAGATACTAAATACTGTATAGTTTGATGATCACAAACAGTATCATGAAGGCGATTGTAGTGTGTCTGTTTTCTGTGATAATACTCGTGGAAAGTGATGAATACCTTAATGTCACATATGAACTCGTTCAAAGGTAGTTGTTGGACTTTAGAAAAAGCATCTAGTAGAACGAATCGGCTGGTCACAAAGGGTCAGCAACGAGTCCGTGCTACAGCGCGTCTAAATGACCCGGAAAATTATGCTGACCATCAAAAAGAGAAAAATCGAATATCTCGGTCACGTGCTTAAACACGATAGATATTCATTGCTTCAACTGATCATGATGGGCAAAGTAGAGGGCAAGAGACGTGCTGGGCGCAGAAGAAAATCGTGGCTGCGAAACATCCGGGAGTGGACCGGCATTACAACAGTCGAACAATTGTTCCGCATGGCTACCGACAAGGAGAAATACAAGAAGCTGACGGCCGACCTTCAACATTGAAGAGGCACTATAAGAAGAATCTAGTAGAACGCGTAGAATATGAGTAGGCGGTGTACCTGGTACACCTGGCATGGGCTGCCAACACCGCCGTATCCTCAGAGAAGTGATTGGTGACGGCAACCTTTTGCGTTCGGCTATGGTTTAGGCCATGGTGAAAAGCCACCTCCTCCTTCTGCGAAGCAGTCATGCTAGCTGCAAAACTCGTAAGGAAACGATCCTCCTTGCATCTCAGCCGCCGCAGAAGACATTACGGGATCGCACGACGACCTCCGGTCACCATAAGTGTGGGTCTGCGGATGACGAGCAAGAGTAGATCATCGTCCGCTCAGAATCAGACCAGATCGTACGGATGATCGCGTTCCGCGCCCGACTTAAAGAGCCATCAGACCACTACAGTTGGTGCCCAGTTGGACCGATGACCTAGCGGGCTGCTGGGCCGCCAGTTCGAAGCAGAAGTAGGAACGGAGTGGTTTTTGATTTCTGGTTGGGTTTAATTAATATTTTATATTTATGGGAATTATTGTAGGTCGATCTCAGTTAGTATAAATATTTACTTCAAATAGTTTTACTTAAAAAACTAAAACACAGTTTTATTTTATTTATCAGAAGAAATGGACGTAATTAATGGGCTCAAACTACCAGGATCCAAGGTTCCACAAATCACCGTCTAATTATAACTTCTAATTAATTAATATTTTATGGTCACGTAATCTACATACATATGATTGCTGAGTTTCATGGTTATACAATAATTAGAAGTGTGTGAAATTTTGTGGTTAGGTTTTATTACATAAGGTTCGTTAATTAATATTTTTCAGAGATTACGTTAAGATAATGCTACATAATATATACGAGACCCTACAGAATCGTACACTATTCCAGATAAATATAATAAACTTAATGAATGACATGAAACTGACTAAATCCGCAGACCGAAAACTAACTAAAATAAAATGATAACCTATTAAAAACCTAACCTAAAGTGATTACTTCACGCAATCCTCAATTAGTCTAGCCTTTATATTGCGTGAAGTTTTTTTATAACAATGTTAATTTTGCATTTATTGAACTGCAGTTGCTGAGTGCTAATGAACCTAGCCTTTTTATTACCTAACAAAGTGAAGTTAACAAATACTTGCTCAGTATAACAACCTGCGTATATGCAAATTATAACACCATTTGGAACACGAGCATATATACCATGCGGATAAAGATATTATCTTATCAATCTGTCTGGTGCTTCATTATCCTAAATTATGTCTAAATTATTATGTTAAGGTGCAACTCCTTTAAATGGTGTTTACTTGTTTTTTTATGGAATAGGAGGCTAACGAGTAGACAGAGCATCGACGTAAGCTGTCAACGCCGCCCATAGAACCAGAGGAGCAACTCCAGAGGAGTCACAGGTGTGTTGCCAATCTTGTTTTCAGTTTTAATAGTTGAACTGCTATAAGATGTTTGAATGATTGAAAATCATATAAAACTGGCTACCTCCGCGCGGTTTCAAACGCTCTGCTCAGTTCCTATTGGTCGTAGCGTGATGTTTCATAGCCTATAGCCATCCTCGATAAATGCGCTATCCAACACAAAAATAATTATTCAAATCAGACTTGTAGTTACGGAGATTGACGCGTTCAAACAAACAAACAAAAGAACAAACTCTTCCGCCTTATATATAATAAGTATAAGATTAGTGGTCCTTCTATCTGACTTTACAGGACTGTGTCCAGTACATCAGATAGGATAATTAGAGTGACCTTATGCAGGGACAAATGGCGGAATACCGTAAGGCACTTTCTAGCTGCTTCCTCCATTACTACCTCATAACGACCACGATCAGAGTTCTCAAGAATGTAGCAGGTAAGATGGTTTATTCTTTGACAAAAATATCACAGGTAAGTAGCCTTCAGCGAATTGTTAGATGTATTTTTATTAATTTAATAACATATTTTATAATTATTTGATACAGAAACAGAAGTAGAAAAGAAACATACTTTATCGTGTTAAAATCATCTGGAACAGCAATCAAATTCAAAATTTTACTTTATATTCCCACCGATACTAAACCAACGAGGCG